ACTTAATAACTTTAAATTTAGTCATTCCTAGCTAAACGACAATAAATAATATAACTTATAACTAGTTATTTGCGTAAGCTCTGTTAAAGATATTAGTAAGATGTGAAGAAATTAGAAAACAACAAAATAATATATACAATAACTACAAAACGATAAAATTCTTTTTAAAGTTAAAATAGATACAAAATGACATAAAAGTTAATTTATTCTAGTTCTATAAAGGAAACTAAATACATTTAACCTTTGATCGTAAAAAACGTTTATTTTTTCTTTTTAATGCAACAGTTCTTGAATATAACAACGTATCATATTTTCCAATTGTATTTTTGTAAGAGACAGGGTTAATTTACTTGTTTTTTTTCAGTTAAAATACAACTCAGAATTTTCATTGATAATATTTATTTTTGTCTCAACTACTAGATTAATTAAATCATCTAAAAAAAGCAGTGATTGTATTTATTTTTACTGACTTATCATAACTCCAATTGATAAGAAATTAAGTATTCCTAATATAAGTTTATATCTGTCCTAATAGGAGCAGTTTAAGATGATTTATAGTCCCCCATAGCATTATGACCGGCAAGGCAACCAAAGAACGCTTGGCGTAAAACAGCTTATAACTTATTCACACGAAAGCCAAAGCTCAACGAGAATCCAAAGAGAGATTTTTCCCAAGACATGTTTTATGATGTTTAAAAATAAATTTATATTAAGTAAAATTACAGCTCACGGTGAGCTCCGAACCACCAGTACAATGTGAGCATCACTACATAGACATCAACTATTACAGTGGCAAGATTTGAACTTATATCTTCAGAAATTAATTTTTGCACTTTGATCTAAAACCAGCGAACACCATCGAGTTTAGAATGCCTTTTATCAGAGAACATACAATATTGGATAAAACTGGTTAAAAACTATAACAATAATATACTAAAAAAAAAATGTATACTGTAATGGTATAATATTCAAAATTATAATGTCCAATTAATTTAATTTCGATTTAAGAGTATACTTTTATAGTTAATAAACTCAAGTTTCCTTAATAGTTTTATTCACTATGCTTACTTATCTCATTCATTTATGACCTACTGGTAAAGAAACGCAATTGATAAAAAAAACATTACTGTATATACACTAATGATATATTGCATAAAATACTCATAAAATAATATTTTGAACAAAAAGTAACAGATTGAAGAAGAAAGATTAAGAATTAAAATGTATTCAAACATATTGTAAATGTACTCAATAATATAACTATAATTTAAACATTTCCAGCCGGTGTGGAAAGAAAGGCTTTAACGACACGGACAACAAGGTAAGGAAGAAGAAAGTCTGGTTTGAATGGCGTACTTACCATAAAAATCGTATCTTCACTGGGGTGCCACAGACTTTATTTGCAAGACGCTTTGATTGATTGCCAAAGATTATGTGGGTCAATGTTTTTTTGGAAAAAAAGGAAAGTTTTTAAAATAATTTTGTTTAAAATCATCCTAAAGCTACACAAATCTAATGCTAATATACGAATGATACTACTTCATTTTTGTCATAATTTTAAACAACGATTTTCGTTTACAATACTCGTTTCCCTCATCTGTGACATGATAACATAATCATTATACCAACGAGGTTAAACTCTTAATGCGTTTTATGTTCTTACATTTTGCATGGTTTTTATTTCTTAAAAGAAGTTAAAAATTAATTCTAAGTACATTTCAACATACAGAGAAAATCTTTTTAGTTAGTTGACAGTAATTTTACTTGGGTGAGAAATTAACACACAAATAATAAACCGATACGGTATTTAAATCTTCTAATTAAAATAAAATCTTCATTGTTAACTCATATTCCTTTACCTTACCCCAAATCATGTCTTGATACACATAAAAAGTTCATATTTTACGTATTACAATGGGTTGTCCGTCCAAAGGCAGAATTAAATTTTATGCCAGATATTATAAACCTAACTTCCTCGTATGAAATCTATATGAAAGTGAAGAATTTTTTATTGTGTTTTGATTGTTAATACTATACTTGATTGTATGTCCAAATTTTGCCGAAGATAATAAAGACAATATTGTAAGAAAGTTGATTGCCTAGTTGCGTTTAAACTTCAAGAGTATTACTTAGAATCAGGAAAATATTGCATTTCCACCTCTATCTCTGAGTAACTGTTGTTAGTAAGCGGTGTAATACAGAAGTTTCTGTGTTTAACAATATTTGAGAGTGCTCGCATTTAATGACTAAGTTATAATCTTAATACATACAGAAATATTAAACGTGAGCTTCGTTTTTAGCTATTTAATTTTATCTTCTAATATCAAATATTTTAATCTTTTATGAAATTGCATTATAGTTAAAACCAGCAACACGGCGAAAAATCGTTTAAAACATAGAACACGATACAAAACACGGGCATGTAACGAACAACGCCGCTTTGACAATGTAGCGATTTCAATAAAACTAGTTAGCACCTGTTGAAAAATTTGGACTACCTAAGGAGGTGAAATGGCCTATTCTGTCATACAGATCTCCAAGGACTAAAACAAGGATTGTTAACGTTATATTTCCATGTTTGGATGAATTAATGCTGCAAATATTATTAAATAATATTCCATTTAAGCTTTGTACTGCAAACATTATTTAGAGAAATTTAGAGAAGTCTTGACTCCTGTTCTTGCAAAAATTATGACGTTGTATAATACAAAATTTGTTTATTATTTATTTATTATTGTTAATTACGTAACAATAGACAAAATATCTTCCTTAACACGGTTAAGACCAGAAATACCGGGTGTCCCAAAACAGAATGGATCTAAAGTAAACTGACACAAAAACTTTATTATTAAAGATAACAAGTGAATTTTATACAGGGTGTCTGGTCATTAGTGTTAAAGAAATTCTTTAGTGTAAGTAGAATGTTGTTTTAGTGTTTTAAATACAAAAAAATAGGGAACTTTTTACTGTTTCTACTGCTCAAACTGAAACAAATACATGTTTTTCCGAATACTATCTATGTTTAAAATGTTAAAAACACCATGTTTTGGAGTCGTAAAACCACTAAAGCAAACATCAGAAGACCTGAAGTTCAATAGTGTAGCATGTGGTTGGAAAGCTTATACAATGGCGTAGTTTTCAACATACTTTGCTACCTTCTTGTATACAGGGTGTAGAAAAATTCAATAGACTAATGTTTTTTTTTTATCGTAGACCTTAATCTTTATCTTTGGAACTATTTACAATGGAGTTTTTACTATTGATCATCCATCATTTTCCATTACTCTTATTCAAAATTTAATGCAGAAGACGGAAATGACATCGTCTACTCAAATCCATTTTCAGGTAATTGATAAATCGCTGTATTGTGTTTAAAAACATTGTTATTTTCTAAAAACTTAAAATAATTCTTTGGGAAGCAAATTTTTTTACTTGGAACCTCGTATATGCATTGTGGTGAGTGCTTCAATACTGTTGAAAACCAGCTGGACAGTTATTTGTTTTTTTATAAAAGTATAACTTTGGTTTGGTTTAAATGAGTTGCTATGGTTACCTAACAGTTCATTCCTGGTTTTTATAATTCATACACTTATGTTTATGTCATGCTCATTAAATTCTATTTTCTATCAGTTTCTTGAATAATTTTATCAAAAATAGTTAAAGAAGAACCTACTTCTTCAGTGGTGACCCCGACGTGATCATTTTTTTACCAAAATTTAGCAAAATTGCAATGTCTACTACTCAAGAAGGTAACTCCCTAGAACGAATTACTGTGAAGATTCCACAATTTTGGCCAGCAGATCCTGAGCTGTGGTTTGCGCAGGTCGAGACCCAATTCTCCTTGGCTCGGATCACATCTGATGAAACAAAATTCTTTTATGTTTGTGGAAATCTTGATGCTAAATACGCTGCTGAAGTGAGAGACATCCTCACAAGACCACCAACCGAGGGAAAATACGAAAAACTGAAAACAGAATTGATACAACGCCTAAGCTCTTCACAGGAACAGAAGACCAGACGTCTCCTGGAACATGAAGAAATGGGAGATCGAAAGCCCTCGCAGTTCCTCAGACATCTTCGTGCTTTGGCTGGTACCGTTGTACCTGACACTGTGCTGAAAACTCTGTGGTTGAGTCGTCTGCCTTCATCAACTCAAGCCATTTTAGCAACACAAAAGTCGTCTGAGCTTGATGCACTAGCCGAGTTGGCTGACGCCGTGCTTGAAATTAGCCCGCGTCATCAAGTTACAGAAGCAGCTGTCCCTACTAACAGTCCCAACTCTATGGAAGTAATGATGGAGCGACTGACGATCCTGATGACATCTAAAATGGGCGAAATCGTAAGCACTCTTCAGCACGACATTTCAACTATCAAAGAAGATCTGCGGAGTAATCAAAGTCGTCGTCCAACATGGAGTTCAAGTCCGGTTCGGCGATCAAGATCACGCTCCAAGAGCACGACAAGAGACGATGTTTGCTGGTACCACAAGCGATTGCAGCTACTAAGTGCACCAGGCCTTGCAGTTTCCAAGCCAACAACTCGGGAAACGATCTCGGGAGTCTCTAATGGCGGCCAGCGACTCCTCCGATCTACAGACATCTCGCCGCCTCTTCGTCACAGACAAGGTAACAAAACAACAGTTCCTCATTGACACTGGAGCAGATGTTTGCGTCTATCCACGAAAAATGCTTTCAGGTAAAATACTAAAATCTGACTATACACTATACGCAGCAAACAACACCGAAATTGCCACTTACGGGTTGCATACCTTATCTTTGGACCTAGGCCTACGCCGAGCATTTGTGTGGCGTTTTATCATAGCTGATGTTGCCAAACCGATCATTGGAGTTGACTTTCTTCATCATTATGATTTATTAGTGGATGTTCGACGTCAGTGTTTGATTGATCAGGTAACCTCTCTCGTTTCCACTGGTCGCGCAACATGCTCCAATTTGGTAAGTGGTATTAAAGCAATAAATGCAAACCAACCAAATGTCTACATGCAGCTCCTCCAATCATATGCGTCCCTTATTCGACCGGCAGGTAAACCTTCTGTCCCTGTCAAACACCAAACAGAACACCATATCCAGACAACCCCAGGACCACCAGTCTTTAGCAAACCCCGTCGTCTAGCCCCGGACAAGTTAAAGTTAGCCAAAAAAGAATTTGAGGTTATGGTCCAGTTAGGTATAGCTAGACCTTCTTCTAGCAGCTGGTCATCCCCTCTTGATATGGTTCCCAAAAAAGGAGACGAATGGAGACCATGTGGAGACTACAGAGCCCTAAATGCCAGAACCATTCCTGATCGCTACCCTATTCCTCACATTCAGGACTTTTCTCTAAATTTGCATGGTAAAAAAGTTTTCTCTACTATAGATCTTGTTCGTGCTTACCATCAGATCCCTGTAGCTCCTGATGACGTTCATAAGACTGCTATAACAACACCTTTTGGTCTTTTCGAATTTCCTTTCATGTCTTTTGGACTTTGCAATGCTGCCCAAACCTTTCAACGTTTCATTGATGGTGTACTCAGTGGCCTAGACTTCTGTTACGCTTACATTGATGACATTCTCGTAGCTTCAGAATCCGAAGAACAACACCTCATTCACTTACAATTGTTTGACCGCCTATCCTCTTTCGGAGTCTTTGTCAACCCAAGTAAGTGCAACCTAGGAGTTCCCATGGTTAGTTTTCTCGGATATCAAGTTTCCGGAGAAGGGATAAAACCCTTACCTGAAAAAGTGAAAGCTCTTGACTGTTACCCCAAACCAAAGACTGCAAAGGAATTAAGAAGATTCATTGGTATGCTAAACTTTTATCGTAGATTCCTACCCCATTCAGCGTCCCAGCAGAGCACACTAAATGACCTTCTGAAAGCCAATCCAAAAGGTAATATGCCTATTAATTGGACTACAGAAAGTGAACAAGCTTTTGAAACTTGTAAAAAAAGCCTCAGTGAAGCCGTTATGTTGTCTCACCCTGCACCGAATGCCTCACTTGCAATCTTCTGCGATTCATCAGACTATGCTGTAGGAAGTGTATTGCAACAAAAGGTAGGACAAAACTGGCAACCACTATCTTTCTTTTCCAAAAAGTTAAGTCTAACTCAACAGAAATACAGTACTTATGACAGAGAACTAACAGCAATTTATCTTGCCATTAAGTATTTCAAACATATGCTAGAAGGAAGACAATTCATAATTTTTACAGATCACAAGCCTCTGACCTTTGCTTTCCGTCAAAAACCTGATAAGTGTTCTCCAAGACAGTTCCGTCACTTGGAATATATTGGACAGTTCTCAACTGACATTCGCCACGTTTCTGGACAAGAAAACGCAGTTGCAGATACCTTCTCTAGGATAGAAGAAGCCACTGCCTCCTTAAACTTCCAGGCTTTGGCAGAGTCTCAAGCTCAGGATGAAGAACTACAGCACTATTTAGAAACAGAATCCAACCTAAAGCTCAAGCAAGTGCTGCTACCAGGAACGGAAATCTCACTTTATTGTGATGTATCTACTTCAAACCCCCGTCCTTTTGTCACAAAACAATTTCGAAAAAATGTTTTTTACAGCTTGCACAACCTGTATCATCCCGGGATAAAGGCATCCACAAAACTGGTTAGCCAACGTTTTGTTTGGCCTTCAATGAAATCGGACTGTCGTTCTATGGCTCGCTCCTGCCTCTCCTGCCAGAAGTCAAAGATAACACGTCACAGTTCAACCCCAGTTGGTACGTTTGTTCCACCATCTTCTAGATTCGAACACATCCATATTGATCTAGTTGGCCCATTACCTGTTTCGGAAGGTTACAGGTATTGTTTGACTTGTGTTGACAGATTTACACGTTGGCCTGAAGCAGTTCCACTTGAGAACATAGAAGCTGAAACTGTAGCTCGTGCATTATTCACCAACTGGATTTCAAGGTTTGGAACGCCACTGCGCATAACCACAGATCAAGGTCGACAATTTGAATCCTCTCTTTTCCAGCAGCTAACACAGTTAACTGGATCAACACGTCTCCGAACGACTGCCTATCACCCTGCTGCCAATGGACTCGTTGAACGCCTTCATCGACAACTCAAGGCAGCCATAAGGTGTCACACAACAGATCGTTGGACCGAAGTATTGCCAGTGATACTGATGGGGATCAGAGCTGCGTGGCGCGAAGATATGCAAGCTTCCTCTGCAGAACTCGTTTACGGTCAACCTCTACGACTTCCTGGAGAGTTTATGACGCCCAGCCAAGATGGACATCAATTGGATCCACCAAACTTCGTAAAGAGCTTACGTCAGCACTTCAACAACCTGCGTCCAGTCAGTGGAACTAGACATGGTGCGAAGACGCCATTCGTTTTTAAGGACCTCGCTACATGCACACATGTCTTTGTGCGGACTGACATCCCCAAGGGAGCTCTCGAACCCCCATACTCTGGTCCTTACCCTATTATCAGCAGAACCACCAAGACTGCCGTTGTGGTGATTAAAGGCTGTAATGTCACGGTATCCATGGATCGACTCAAACCGGCATACTTTTGGTCCGAATACAAGAACGATGGATATGCACCGAATAGGACAGAAAGCAACAAATCCACACAAGCACAAAGCAAGACACAAAGCATGGATGATCCTAATTATACAAAGACAAGTTCAAGCGAATTAAAACCTGCAATTAAGACAAAATCTGGGAGACATGTACGCTTTCCTGTACGATTTCAAGTATCATGATTTACTTAAATTAAATGATTAGCAGGGGGGTACTGTGGTGAGTGCTTCAATACTGTTGAAAACCAGCTGGACAGTTATTTGTTTTTTTATAAAAGTATAACTTTGGTTTGGTTTAAATGAGTAGCTATGGTTACCTAACAGTTCATTCCTGGTTTTTATAATTCATACACTTATGTTTTTGTCATGCTCATTAAATTCTATTTTCTATCAGTTTCTTGAATAATTTTATCAAAAATAGTTAAAGAAGAACCTACTTCTTCATGCATCATTACACTTAATTTACTTTTAACTCACAACAAAGAATTTGTGTAACACTGATGACCAGACACACTGTATAAAATGTTTTCCTATTTTTTCTATCATGGTCTAACCGCCTACCCTACATACATTTTCGCTATACATTTTCTCCATTATTTTATCAAAGAACAGGTCGGTGTTCCAGCTCTAACCATACTTTGCGGTGCATTTCATTAGATATTTGTCAAAGGCTTCCCTTTGCTTCATCTTTGTTTTTAGTTTATTTTTGTTTGAGATCGGCTTGCTAACTTGATAAACTTGATCTTTCACAAACTCGCAGACAAAAAAAAACTACAGATTACGTCTCAATAAACCATTTAACACTCAGTGTTTTCAATTGCACCTCCATATTACAGCTGTATGTTTTGGAAATTCAAACGTGCTAACAACTATGGAACAGCTGAATATTATTGAAGGGCACTAGAAAACCTTCAAGATTCCAGCTTTATAATAAATTATAGCTGACTTTTCTACGGATTTTGCCCATTCTTTTTGGGACACGGCACATATTTAATTTTAAATAAATTCAAAGCTACTTACATCCTGATAACAGTTTGTTATTTTCTTAAAAATATACTTATTACTTATTGTTGCATTGTAGTATACAAACTTCTAAGCACTACATACTAAAAATTAATTAAAATCACAATGTTTTACTCAATTAAATTGACTCTACATTTTTGCGTCCCACCTTCACATTGTGGAATTTATGCTCTAGCCTCATTTAAAGTGACTTCAGACTATACTAATAGGGATGAGGAATATCACTTAAAAACCCATTGGTGATTGGCGGGATTTGAGCCTCAGGGGCCGAAGTACCTCGCTTTACCACTAGACCAGCTCGCTTTACCAAGACTAGCTCGCTTTACCGCTAGACTACCTCGCATTACCACTAGAGCAGCTCACTTTACCACTAGACCAGCTTGCTTTACCACTAGACCAGCTCGCTTTACCACTAGACCATCTCGCTTTACCACTAGACCAACTCGCTTGACCACTATACCAGCTCCTCACTTTACCACTAGACCAGCTTGCTTTACCACTAGACCATCTTATTTTACCACTAGACCAACTCGCTTGACCACTATACCAGCTCGCTTTACCACTAGACCAGCTCGCTTTACCACTAGACCAGCTCGCTTTACCACTAGACCAGCTCGCTTTACCACTAGACCAGCTCGCTTTACCACTAGACCAGCTTTTGGTCGTGGTTGTTCGTGTACATAGAATAAAATTACGACCAAATAAGTAATAGAAAAGTATTTTAATAAGAGTTAAATTGTGTGTAGAGTTAAATTGTACATTCCTGTAGAAAAACAAAGATCAGACTAACTTAATGCGATGCTATGACAACGTCATCAGCTAACGCTACACCAGCCCCCCACGGAGAAAAGGAATCTATACATCATTTTGAAAAGTAACCCGTGGTCGGATTTGTCTTCCAGAACGAGTTGTATAAGAATTCGTAGATGGAGTTTGACAAGATGGTGGTAGTTTTGAGGATTCCTCTGCTTGTCCAGTCGGCACCAAACGTTTCGTGGGCTCAGGAATAGGACTTTCATCTGCAATAATATAGGCTGGCTTGACCCTGTCCAAAGATACCTTAGTTTCTTGGCCTCTTACAATGATGGTAATTGTCTTTTCGTCAAGGCATATGACCTTGTAAGGACCAGAATATGGAGCCTGTAAAGATTTTCTTAAGCTGTCTTGTCGGAGGAATACAAAGTCACAAGTATTGAGGTTCTTGAACACAAACGACCCTGGTTTAATGTGGCGTGATGCGGGTGTAGGTCTTAGTCGATTCATATGCTTACGCAGCCCTGATACCAATTCTTGTGGCTCGTTGCTCTCGTGGGAAGGTATTACGAAAAACTCTCCCGGAAGACGCAGTGGTTCTCCGTACACCAGTTCAGCTGATGAAGCAGTGATGTCCTCCTTGAAGGCAGATCTTATTCCGAGAAGGACAAACGGCAGTACTTCGGTCCAGTCTGATTTGCTGTGAGCCATTATAGCAGCTTTCAACTGGCGGTGGAGTCTTTCAATCATACCGTTGGCTTGTGGATGCCAGCTGGTAGTGAACTGGAGCTTTATGCCCAACTGTCGTGCTAGGTCTTTAAACAAAGTCGATGTGAACTGGGATCCGCGATCACATGTCAACTTTTGTGGGCATCCAAATCGAGCTATCCAAGTAGAGACAAACGCTCCAGTAACAGATTCGGCAGTTATTTGATCAATAGGACAAATTTCAGGCCAACGAGTAAATCTATCTATGATAGTTAGACAGTACCTAGAAGATTTTGATAAGGGAAGTGGGCCAATTAGGTCAATGTGGACATGAGAAAAACGTTCTGTAGGTGTATGAAAATCACCAAGGGGAGTAGAAACATGTCTAGTTATCTTATATCTTTGGCATTAGAGGCAAGATTGAGTCCATTTGTGGCAATCCTTACGAATGGAAGGCCAGACAAAACGATCGCAGATAAGTTTTGTTGTGGCACGTATTCCAGGATGACTCAGCTTGTGGAACTGGTCGAAAACTCTACGTCGCAGTTCTGATGGCACAAAGGGTCTAGGAGTTCCTGTTGAGGTGTCACAGATAAGGCTCAAATGGGTTCCAGGAATCGGAACTTTCTCCAATCTAAGAGATGTAGTACTTTCTGAAATGAGATTTTGAAGTTCTTCGTCTGACTCTTGTGACTTGGCTAAGGATTCATGATCTAAAACAGTTGAAATGGCTTCAACACTTGACAAAGCATCAGCAACTATATTTTGTGAACCACTGATGTGCTTTATGTCTGTCGAAAACTCAGAGATAAATGAAAGTTGGCGTAACTGAGCTGGAGGCAACTTGTCACGGCGCTGTTGAAAGGCATAAATAAGTGGTTTATGATCTGTGAATATAGTGAAAGAAGTTGTTTCCAAGAGATGACGGAAATGCTGCACAGCTTCATAAATATCGAGGAGTTCTCTGGAGTATGCAGGTCAGATGCAATGTTTGGATGATAGTTTCTTGGAGAAAAAACCTAGTGGTTGCCAAGAGTCATCGACAAACTGTTGGAGGCAAGCACCTACACTTACTCCAGAGGCGTCTGTAAGGAGACCAAGAGGAGCATCAGGTTTAGGATGAAACAATAGTATTGCTGATGATAAGCTAGCCTTGCATGCTTGGAAAGCTTCTTCTGTCTCTGGAGTCCAGGGCACAGGGAGGGAACCTTTTGAATCAGCGTAACTAAGTAGGGAGTGCAGAGGTGCTTGAAATTCAGCGGCCTTTGGCAGAAACCTACGATAAAAGTTCATAATTCCCAAGAATCTGCGAAGACCACGCATTGTCTGAGGTAACTGGTAGTCTTGTAGAGCAGTGACTCTCTCCTGAGGTGGACGTGTCCCAGCAGATGATACTAAGTAACCTAAAAATTTAACTTCTGGTACACCAATTACACATTTAGATGGATTTACAACTACTCCATAGTCAGAAAGTCGTTCAAACAACATTCTTAGGTGTTCTTTATGTATTTCTTCAGACTGGGAAAATACTAAAATGTCGTCAATATATGCATAACAAAAATCAAGGCCGTGAATAACTTCATCTATGAATCTTTGAAATGTTTGACCCGCGTTGCGTAAGCCAAAAGTCATGAATGGAAATTCAAACAAACCAAATGGAGTGGTGATTGCTGTTTTTTGGATGTCATCTTCGTGGACGGGAATTTGGTGGTAAGCCTTGGTCAAATCAATGGCAGAGAAATGCGTACAGCCTGCTAAATTGAACGAGAAATCCTGAATATGTGGTACAGGGTATCTGTCAGGAACAGTACGAGCATTTAAAGCGCGGTAATCACCGCAAGGACGCCATCCATTTTCACCTTTAGGCACCATGTGCAAAGGTGAGGACCAGGGGCTTTCAGAGGGTCGAGCAATACCAAGCTTAACCATATCCTCAAATTCTTTCCGGGCAGCTTTCAATTTTTGAGGATGTAAGCGACGTGGTCGACAGTGAACAGGAGGACCAGGTGTAACATTTATATGATGAACTGTTTTATGTTTCACAGCACGAGGTAAGCCTGGAGGACGAATAATATCAGGGAATTCAGAAAAAACTTCTGCCAATGGCGAAGAGAAAGATATAACTTTAATACTAGTTTGATTGTTGTTAGTAACTATTAGTATAACTATACCAAACATTTCATTTTGCAATCGGGTAATAAGTGATAGTGTGAAAGGAAGTCTGAACCTAATATAGGTATTGAAACATCCGCTACCACTAGACTCCAAGGGAAATTACGTCTAAGGCCTAAATTAAGGGTGAGAGGCATGGTACCATAAGTCTTTATTTCACTGTTATTGGCAGCACTTAGTGAATAGCTAGTAGGAAAACGTTTATATTTGATAAGGCGTTTAGGAAAACACGACACATCAGACCCGGTGTCGATAAGGAACCTAGTTCGTGAATTTCTGTCCATCACAAAGAGACGGCCGCCAGCATTTGAACAATCCGTTGCGGCCTCTACGGATTGTTGCTGAGGTTTCCCTGAAAAGAGCACGGAGAAAGACATTTGGTAGCATTGTTTTTGAATTTTCTATGGTACCAGCACCAGTTCTTAGAGGGATTAGGTTCGTTTCCTGATCCACCACGAGACTGGGAACGACCCCTAGGTCTCACCTGTGTATCTCGTACTCTGGTTTCTGATAATGCTTGAACTTGT